GGGTGGAGATTGGACTGGAGATTGGGCTGGAGATTCAGGTGGAGATTGGACTGGAGATTCGGCTGGTGGAGATTGGACTGGAGATTCGGCTGGTGGAGATTGGACTGGAGATTCAGGTGGAGATTGGACTGGAGATTCGGCTGGTGGAGACGTGGGTGGAGATTGGACTGGAGATTGGGCTGGAGATTCAGGTGGAGATTGGACTGGAGATTCGGCTGGTGGAGATTGGACTGGAGATTCAGGTGGAGATTGGACTGGAGATTGGGCTGGTGGAGATTGGACTGGAGATTGGGCTGGAGATTCAGGTGGAGATTGAACTGGAGATTCGGGTGGAGATTGAACTGGAGATTCGGCTGGAGATTCGGTTGGAGATTTAGGTGGAGATTGGACTGGAGATTCGGCTGGAGATTCGGCATCGCAAACGGGAAGGTCGGAGATTTCGATTGTGGCACAAAGACTCGGATTGTTTAGAAAACTTCCGTTAAACGCCGCAATATCCAACTCGTCAGGAACTTTTCCGGTGAGTTGATTCGAAGAAAGGTTTAGAAAAGTCAAGTTTAAATTTCCTAACTGAGCTGGGATCTCACCGGAAAGTTGGTTATTCGACAAATCTAAACTATGAAGGGCATTTAAAGAACCAAAGTCGGCCGAAATCGAACCCAATAAATTATTCGAGGAAAGATTCAATGTCGTAAGCATTTGCAGGCTCGCCAGTTCTGCCGGGATGGTGCCTGACAGCTTGTTGTTGCCTGCCCCGAACTCAACCAAACTCGTCCACGATGATACATTAGTCGGGATGTTACCACTAAACTCATTGTCACTTACCTGGAAATGAGTTAAATTCGGCGCCATTATACTCGGGAGCTTGCCCATGAAGTTATTATTGTAGAGTTCCACTTTGACAAGAGTTTGGCATTGTTGTAGTAATTTCGGAATTTCGCCGGTCATTTTGTTTTGAAAAGCAAACACATTAGTCAAAGCACCACGGCTGCACAAACATTCCGGCAGTTTTCCGGTGAAAAAATTCTCAGAAACATCGACTTCAAAGAGCTTCGAGTATTTTCCCATAAAAAAAGGAATAGTTCCATTTAGATTATTCGTGAACATACGAATATATTGAAGGTTGGGAAGTCGGCATACGCTCTGTGGCACCTCACCCGATAGATTGTTAATAAAAAGATGCAAAACCTCCAACCTTATGAGATTCCCGAAAGATATCGGGATACGACCACTCAAGTTGTTCTCGGATAGGTCGACACTCACCAAATCAACCGACTTGGTTACTTGAGGAATCCGGCCCGAAAGCTGGTTCTTAAACAAATAAATCGTTTTCAAATTTCTCAACGAGAAAAGAGTATTTGGGATTTTACCTTTGATATCGTTCATAGCCAAGTCCAAAAAGGTGAGGCTTGACAAATTCCCGAAGCTCTTGGGAATATTTCAGTTGACGTTCGTCAGCCTCATCTGGAAACTCTTCAATTTCGTCAGTTTTCCGAACGCCGAAGGTAAGGGCGCCGGCGTGAAATTGTTGGAGGACAAGTAAATGTCCTCCAATTTTGACAGGTTGGAGATCTCCACCGGATAGCTGCCATCGAAGGAATTAAAGCAAAGGTACAGGAGACGGAGCTCCGACAGGCTCCCGATTCCCGGCGGAATGTTGCCGAAAAAGTTGTTTTGTGAGAGGTCCAAATACTCGAGCTTCGAGCAGTTGAGTAAGGTGGCCGGGAAGTTTCCCGTGAGATAATTGGAACCGAGATCGAGATGGGTTAGGTGGTGGAGGACGCCGATGGAGTCGGACACGTTGCCGGAGATGTTGTAGTTGTTGATGTTGATTCTGGTGACGTGGCCGTCGCTGGAGCAGTTGATTTCCGGCCAGCCACAGGGAGATGACGTCAGGTTCCAGTGTTGGAGGGTTGTGGTGTTGCCCCATGCATTTTTCATGTCTAGCAAGGCGGTTCTTTCGTCAGTGGGAAGGTTTTTTGAATTTACGAAAAAGGACATGGATGAGAGAAGAAAAAAGAGGAAGAGCAGTACAGTACTCGAGTGGAAGAAGGGTAGTTTCGTCATTGTAGGAATGAGGATAGTTTGTTTGATGATATAGTTATAAATCAAGTTTTTTTTTTTTTTTGTTTTTTTTTGATGATCTCTGATGATGCGTATGAAGGGGGTTTTATAAGCTTAGGATGAGATAAGGTGTTTCATATTTTGGTGTTTAATTTCAACACAAAGTATGATTTTGAAAAATGAAATCTAAATTTTTAAAATAAAATATAGTTTAAAAAAGTTCAGTAGTGGTTAAGAATGTGAGTTTTATTTCAACTGCTAGTGTATTAGGAGGTAGTTTTCATTCTCTCATCACTAGTGTGTGCAATTTGCCTACAAAATCTGTAAATTTGTCCTTTGTTGCTATTTAATTTGTTTCTTTTTCATTTGTGTTTAAATATTTTTAGTTGTTTAATTTTTTTTTGGTAGGATGTTATTTGATAAAAAGTTTTAATTCTCTTGACATGACTCCTATTAGGAAAGAAAAAGATAAGAGGGAAACGAGATTTTTTTTTTGACAAATTAAGCATTCATAATGTTTTGGGTTCAATAAAAAAAGTTGTATGTCATTTAGGAAATAGACTCGGTCTAAAAATATATATTCTCCAATGCAAGTGGAAGTGGACTGGGTCCTGATGTGGCAGCAAGAAAAAGAGACTCAGTCTATGTCTATCCTTAAGTCTATTTTTTAGACCGACCTAGTCTCTTTGCATAGGAGTTAATTTTGTTAATTTTATATATTTTTGTCCATGTCATTCAAGACTTAGGTCCATTTACATACAAAATTATAACCAAAGCATTGCAAAACGGAAAAAGAGACCAAAGAATATTAGCAAGAAAAAACTAAGAGGGCTGCGGATGTTCTATTTTGGAAAAAAGAAAAAGCAGCAGCATCTCAAGCGTTTTTTTAGAGGGCAAGGCAACAGCGTGGGATCCTTTTTGAGGAAGACGAACGGACTATCAGAACTCACCTAAGGGCTAAGAAGTTTGTGAAGGATTTTTGGAAGACAAGAACGGATTTGGAGATCGCATCTGACAGAAACTGGGGGAAATGGGTGCTGGCCCACTACCATGAAGGACACCATGAAAGAAGGGAAAAAACCCATATGAAGCCCAAATGAGGTTCCATCCCAAAACCAATTGGTGGAAGGAGGAGTAGCCCATTAGTCTTATAAGGTGGGTCTATTTTCCATATATGAACGATGTGAGACAACTCACAAGTGATATTCTAACACGCCCCCTCACTTGTGAGTCATTCGAAAGCCCAAGCCCAACTGGGCTGGGTGCCCCAAGCCCTACTACAAACAGGCTCCCATAAACGGGTACGTGGAGGATAAACAATGGGTACGTCATCACACGGTCCAAGATAGAACCGGCTCTGATACCATGACAGAAACTGGGGGAAATGGGTGCTGGCCCACTACCATGAAGGACACCATGAAAGAAGGGAAAAAACCCATATGAAGCCCAAATGAGGTTCCATCCCAAAACCAATTGGTGGAAGGAGGAGTAGCCCATTAGTCTTATAAGGTGGGTCTATTTTCCATATATGAACGATGTGGGACAACTCACAAGTGATATTCTAACAACATCTTTCATTGTTCTCTTGAACTTGTGTTATTTATTGTTACTCTTTCGTCATTTTATTGAGAGTATTTCGGTTTATTATTATTTTGATAGTCTGTTTTGATACTATATAATATATATATATATATATATATATATATAAAAGTTTGTATTTACTTAAATTGTAACTAAAATCTCGCTTAAAAAATTTATTTCTTACTTTTATTAGTAACTTTTGTAAATATTTTTTAGAAGTGGCGGCCAATTATTTTAATTTAAATTAAAAAAAATTGTATAATTAGTGTGTCTCGATTTAGTTCAATTTTTGTTATGACATTTCAAATAATTTTTGTGTGAAATGCATTGCTCATTTTTTTTAGCATGATAAAGAGTGTTGATTTTTTTTGCATAAAAAATCTTATGACTAATTGTTTTTACTCAACTGCTTAAATTTTTTGATTTGGATATTTTATACAAAAATAAATTCATTTAAATTAATGAAAAAATATAATTTTATACTTATACTTATTATTCACATAGGTTTTTACATGTATAATAAAATTTTACCAAAATAATTATTTTATGGAATCACGTTATTGTCAGATCGAATTTCTGAATAAAAAACTTGAAATGAATATAATGTAATTTATTATCATGTGCAACGCACGAGTTGTGTACTAATTTTAAATATACATTTTTATGTAATTTTGCACAATATAAATTTTATATAACATTAGTAGATTGTATTACATATTGATTCCATCTTTTTAATATATAAATATTATTTAATGAGAATTTTTAATCTATAAATATTAATGAATAACTCTTACCCGTGCATCGCACGGGATTCGTATAATAGTTAAATAACAACAACCAATCATTCTTACACATCACATCTACGTTAATTTACTATTCATCCACTCACATAATTTTAATTAATCATCATTTCATATCATCCCTCATATACTTATACATCAAATCAACTTTAATTATTTTATTTTAAATATTATTTTAATAAACTAAAAGTTTCACTAACAACTATCTATACTATCTTTTTCTAACTTAATCCTGGTTAACCAAAAAAATTCACTTTAGGTGAAAATTTTTGTATCCAATCACGCTAAGTTTGTTGAGAATTGTATTAGAGAAATAAAATTTAAAGGAGAATAGTATAATAGCACACTACTATAAATTTCAACAATTCAACAAAAAATTTAATCAAGTGAAAGAAAAGTTGACTAAAGTTGGGGTGTGTTTGTTTATCAAATAATTCAATCTATATTTAATTCATACTCAAAATATACGTCAATTTTAATTCAATCCCACTATCATTAAATATTGACAATAATTAAGTAATAACAATCAATAATTCTTACACATCACATCAACTTTAATTCACTATTCATCACTCACATAATTTTAAATAACTATCACTTCATATAATCTCTGTCATACTTTACATCAAATCAAATCTAATTATTTTGTTTTAAATATGATTTTAATATAAACTCAAAAGTCACTATCAATTAATCATACCATATTTTTAAAATTAATTCTAATTAATAAAAAAAATTATTTTGCGCGGATATATTTGTATCCAAGCACACCCTTAGTATTCAAGGGACCATCGCACCACTAAAAAATTATGTAGAGTAGATTTTAATTTTCAAATAGTTAAGAAAAGGCCAACTTTATAAATGATTACTATCTACAATGAAGCTAACTCGAAGTGATTGATGTAAGGCTCAATTTTTTTTTTATTTTTTTTTTTCGAGACGATAGAGAATTTATATAACAAACGCACAAATGTGCAAAGATACAACTTGTAACACATCCCAAAGTTGAATAAAATGGGAGGACAAGTCTGACGACCGCCTAGAAGCCCGACTCTAGCAATATTGATGTGTTTCCTTTTTTTTTCTTTTTACAATATTGATGTGGATTAAATTCAAAATATCCCCATTATATATATCATTCTACTTGTTTTACAATGTTGATATGGAATAGGTACAAATATCTACTCTTCGTGTAATTTGTCCTTGCGCATGCATTTTAGAAAGAAAACGTACGATGTTAATGAAGAACATAATTTGCGACTTAAACTGTGTTGTTTGTCTCAACAGTATTTTGGATTGTACCATTTGAGAACTAAAGCGGTTTAAAATTTGGTTTGAAAAATTGTCTAAACTCTAAACCCATATATATATGTCCTAATTTGTTGTTTTACATATAGAAATCTAACACAAATTTTGGTTTATAATATTTTATATAGCTATATAATCAAAATTTGATCCACACTTTGTTAATTTAATGTATGGAAAGTATATTTATCTTTATAATTTCTGTCAGTACGACTATTAACAAGAGTCAGAGTCAGTTATAATAACAGTTTGACTATTCTAGAACAAATTGGTTTTATTCACAACGAGCTATGTGCAGTTATTTTTAGTATCACTAATAAAAAGGGTTTTAAAATATTATTATGTGGGAAAACTTGCCAAAAATTAAACAAGAACTTTGTGTATAATAAGTTTTAAATAATGTATGATATACAAAACCTTTTAATGTTTTTATGTGATCAAAATAATAATTAATCTCTTTTTAACCAGCTGTTATTTACAAATTGAATTTATAGAATATTATCGATTAATTCTTCCCCGTGCATTGCATGAGATTCGAACTATAAAGTTTTGTATCTATATATATAGAAAAGTTTGTATTTACCTGAAATGTGAACTAAAATCCCCGTCTAATAATTATAAATTTACTAAACTTAAAAATCTTTTTTAAAAATTTTTAAAAAATCCTGCCTCTATAAATAAATTAATCGATTTATTGTATAAAGTTGGCAAAATTTATAAATCCAATTTTGGTATAAAGTGAGAAATTTTATTTGAGGTATCTGATAACCTTTGTTTTGGTAAGAAATGTGATTATTAATAAATATTCATAATTATGGTATAAAGTGGGTAATTTTATTTTGGTATGAAATGTCCGAATTTAAATGATATGAAATTTATTTGGTGTAAATAGCAGTCTAATTCAAAATTTCGCAAACTAAATAAGTGGTATAAATTTTATTTGGCATAAGTATGAAAGTCGAATTTTAGCTTGATTTTATTATAAAATCAAGGTTGTATGATTTTCAAATTTTAGCGTATTTCCATAATAACTTGACATAAGATATCGATGATAATTCAGCAAATTGATATGTATTCCTCTCGAAAATAAAAAAGGTCTTTTTGAACAAATATTGATGAATAAAATTTAAAAATTTATATTTTAATTCTAGAGAATTAAATGATAAATTAAAACGATAAGGTAATCAGCAAAAAGTTTAGAGAATAGTGAGATATATTATGTATATGTGTGTGTGTGTGTGTGTGTGTAAGGGAATTTACCGTGTAGTACAAATTTGAGTTTCAAATTTAAAAAGTTAAGTAAGTAATTATTCAACATTTACATGTTAATATTAACTTGTAAGTAAATTGAAACAATATAAATTTTATAATTATAATTATTATTCACATAGAAATTTAAATATATAATAAAGTTTTACCGAAATAATTATTTTATGGAATCACATTGTAAGCAACTCGATTTTTGAATAAATTTTTTAAAATGACACTTATTTGAAATGAATATAATGTAATTTATTATCAGTTATGTGCATCGTAGGGTTGTGTACTAATTTTATATAGGCATCTTTTATGTAATTTTGCACAATTTAAATTTTATATAATATTTTTAATAAATTAATATAAATAAATTGTATTACATATTAATCTGTATTTTTAATTTATAAATATTATTTAATAAGCGCTTTTAGTTCACAAATAAACATTAATGAATATCTCTTATCCGTGTATCACATTCATTTTTTCGCTGCGTATTTTAATTTTTTATTTTTGTGTCAAAATATAGAATATTAGGTATTTAAAATTCTATCAAAATCATTTTTTTTTTAGTTTAGCCATCGAACAAAATAGATCGGAATATGTGTGGATTCAGTGAGGTCGAATACGATTCTGTAACAATCGAACACAGATCGGAAACGAACAAGTGCCGATCGGAGAAGAAATCTAGGGTTGTCGCAAAACGAAGAAATCCCGATCAGAGTATTCGAAAAAAAAAAATCAAAAACAACAAACGATTGCAGCGGAGGACGAAAAAGGATCAAAAAATCCGGCGAATGATACCATGTTAACAGATCAGATTGGAGAATTGAGAGCACGAGAGAATATGAAAAGAAAGGAAAGGGAAAATATTATTGCATCTGAATTGTTGAATTGTACAGTGTGTAACCCGGTATTTATACCAAGGGTTAAGTCATACATAAAGTGTTTAGGAATAGGATATAAAAGCGTGTTACATATATAGACTAGATTTACACAACTAAAATAATACACAATGTATATAGTTTAACAACTACTATGCATATTATTTATTTATTTCTTTCTTATAGATTTCTAGACTGTTGGAACTAATAATAATCCATTTTTATTTCAAATTTTTTGGCTGGAGATGTACATTTAAAGTGTTTTCTCCTTCCATT